GTACCGTCAATGTGGCCCGTTGAGGGGGGCCAATATGCTGAAGTGGCCCTTGGTGAAATTGAGTTCGACACCCCTGATGTATCCTGTACTTTGAGATGTCAAATAAATTTCTATTAAAAAAAAATTATGACTTTCATTCCTGTAATTCTGATTCACACGTTGGCCACCAGGGGGCGCCATCCTTCACTTTACTGATCTTATCTTCATTTCCTAACAAAGTACAGTTATTACTTTAAATCCGTTTTCTGTCCCCATGTGGATCTCCTCTCCTCCATAAGACCCTCCCCTTGCATTAGTGACCCCGTGACCCCTGAGTGCGAGTCTCACTGATGTCCTTCTTCCAGTTGCAGGGGATCCTGCAGTGGATCTTGTCGGTGCGATCTTTGCACGTCGCCTCCCTCAGTCCGTCTCCACAGTCTCCTTGATCCGGCACACATTTCCCGTACTGGGTCTCTGCCGCGGTGCATTCAGACGCCGGTCGGGATTTATCAGATTTCCCACCTGCAGATCGGAGAAACGTCAAACCAACGTGATGACATCATCTGATTTAAATGTTTCTGCTTCCTCCATTCTTTTGGTTAATTTTTCGGTTCATAATTCAGAAAGGTCAATGTATTGTGACTATGTATGGACTGGGTAATGAATACTCAATAGATACTGTTTTCTAAAACTTTATTCAATTATTATTGAACGACCAGCCGACTGGTGTTTTATCCCAACTTTTGCTGTCGCCATTTTGCGGAAAGATTGTGGAGCGCCAAAATTAGCCATCAGCTGACGTAAACTGATTAAAAAAAATCAATTTCAGAATCAGTTCGAAAGGCTAATAAATAGACTCAAACACAAAAACGAAGGATATTATATCTATAATTTCAGTATGCTACTGAAAACTGTTATAGTTCCAGTTGTAGTTTTTCCACATTAATTACCGTTTTTATTTCAGCTAGAATTTTTTTTTTTCTCAAATTTTTATCGTTTTGTTAGTTTCAGTAATAACAGTTGGATGATGCAGCTGGTTGATGAAGACGACTTACAACACAAAGTATTTGTTTTTATAAACAGTCTTTTATAAGATGCAGAGCCATGTTTATCCACGATGTTTTACAGAAAAGTCGACTTTGCTTCACTGAAATCATCTTTTGTTTAAGTCATTAAATTTGCCTAACTATAGCACTTTTCATAGATCGTGGCCCAAATCCTGTAATTATACTCAGAATAAATTTGTTCAGTTGAGCCAAAATGAACAAACGTGCAAAATGATTTCTAAGTTCTGGATCTATGATGAATAACATTCCTTTCTTTAAAAGAAAAAAAAAAAAGAATCAGACTATTTGCTAGATTTTAGGTTTTTTTTTTATTTTCTCAACAGTTTAGCCACGTGACAAAAAGTTTGTACACCCCTGATCCAGGATCTCTGCCACTGACTTTTTCATAATTTCAGTTCTGTGGCCGTTTCCTGTCTATCCACTGAAGCAACTTGTTAACAAGATAATTGCTTCAATTAAACCTCTGAATTTTATTATTTGCAAAAATCCAAGTTTGTCACTTCTGGAAGCGGTTTCTCCAAACCTTCAAATAAAAATCATTCAGAAAGCTTGGATTTAGCAAGACTTCCTAGTTAATTTCTTTCATTTTTAATCAAACTTTCTGGAATGAGCCAAGTTTGATTAGCTCATTCTGATGAAGTTTAGAAGATCTAATCATTCCAGTTTGATTAGAATGATTCTTTCAGAGAAACAGCAGCAAAAATTCAGATTCTTTGCTGCCGTTTCTCTGATTCAGCAGCAAAGAATCAGGGAAACAAAGACACAAAACGCCACGTCAAGACCTGAAACCTGACCTTCCTTCAGCGTTTGGGTTATAAAAGTTAAGAGCCTGTGGTTAAACGTTGCAAAAATAATTTATATCTTTAAGGTCGTGTGTTCCAGTCAGGAGTTCAGCTGCATTATTTTCAAACAGTCAGAAATGACCAACAAAGTTTTTACTAAGAGTGAATTATAAGTTCCTCCGACTTAGAGTGTAAATGTTCGATATGTTGGCTGACTGTGCTGTTATGGGGCGATAATTCACACATTCAATAATCATTTTAAATCAAAGTTTTTATGACTGACTCCTGAACGAAATGGGGCCGATCACAAAGTCTTGAGGGACTCCACCAGTCAGAATCTGTTCACACCTGGTCCAAACACGCGTCCTGAGTCAAGAGTTAAAGCGTGTTTCATATGGAGGAGGATCTGGGGTCACTGAAAAAATAAATTTCTCATAATTCTGACTTTCTTCCTCTGTATTCTAACCAGATCTGGACCTTGTGGAAACTATTTTGGTCTTTTAGTGAAATGGGACCGTCAGGGATCCATCAGCCATGAAAAACTAGTTTAAATCTAACGAAAGTTTATTATCCTTATCCACAACTTGCATCATGGTCACTGAAGCCGGTTCCTCCCAGGTGCCCATCTCCCTTAAAGTCAGAATTTTGATTTAAAAAATATAGAATTCTGATTTAAGAATTCAGATAAATTCTGATTAGAAAAATCCAGAATTCAGATTAATAAAAAGCCTGAATTCCTACAAAATGTTTTTATTTTCTGTGAAACGATAACTGAACCGAGCAGAGCAGCGCAGGACGGCATTTAGAGCTGATTGTGGTGCAGTTTTGTCTCACCTTTGTGATGTTTGGATCGTTTGTTGGCCTCGACGGCGAGCGTGAGAGCCAGGAGCAGCAGCAGCGTCACTGAGAACAAACTTCGCATCCTGCAGAGACCAAAAGAGGAAGGGAGACACAGTCAGGGTCATCAGCCACGGAGCAAAAAAGGGAGAGATGACGGGGTCAGGGGGGGGGGAGGTCGTCTCCCTGCAGATTACTGAGCTGCAGCTGCTGGATGCGTCAACACAAACACCAACACGTGCACAGATGTACAGTCAGGGGGAGATGCCCCACTGCAGGGATTACTGAGCGAGCTTAACGGGCTCAAAGGGGGTCAGGGGCCCCAAGTCACTCAGATTCACAAAACAGTGAGAGAGAGTTCACAAAGAGACACAAAGCACGTTTACAAACCCAGAAAAATGGTTTAAAAGAGACGAGGCTGGCAAAGAGCGACGCGATATCCCACAGAAAACTTCAACAAGAGGAGACGGAAACAAAGACGCAATTAACTCCTGAAAAATGATTCTGAAAGGCACCAAAGAGATTAAATTAACACAAACAGGATTAGATTTCACTGCATAAACAGGCACACATAAAATACAGTTTATAAAGGGGAAAAAAGCTAAATTCAACCCAGTTAACCTCAACAAGATAACTCAAAACAGACCCAGAGAGACGAGTGATTACTAAACACCGACCCAGAAAGCCTCATATATTCTGCAAATATGACATAAAACTGGAAACAAGTTAGAATGAAAAAGACAAAAAGAGACGGATGATTACTAAACGCTGACTCAGAAGAGCCTCAAAAGAAACAAAACTGCAATAAACACAAGCAAATCTGACATAAAATGGAAAATTAAATGATCTGAAGCTGAAAAATCCCAGACACAAAACATCTTTAGAATCTCATTATGTTTTATAATGCAAAACAATGAACTCATATAAACTGAAAGGAAGAAACATCGCAGACAGAATCAAAGAGCATGAAAAACACAGAAAACATGTCTGCAAAATTCACTAAAACACACAAGCAAAGCAACAAAAAACAGCCTAAAGCAGAGAAACTCAGTAACAGTAATCATTACTAAGTGTTTTCATACTGAATGAAACTAACATAAAATACAACACAGTAAGACAATCAAGGGAAAATGATTAACAATCAAAAGTTTTTGCCAAACAAGAAAATACAGACTTCTATAATCTGGATCAGAGAAAAGCAAGAAAACCTAAAATCTGCCATGGAGGCAAATTATTAAACAGTTATTGATCAGAATCAGGATTTTAGTACCAAATTCTGAGTTTTAATCAAAGCAAAAGTTCATGAATTAGCTGGATTGATGGGATTATTGACCTGAACCAGGTTTTATTATTAGAAAAACAGCACAGAAACACAATTTATAAAACATATGTTTATTGAAGATCTCACCTTAGTGAATTTAAAATGTATTTAAAGACACAGTTCAGCTATAAAATAAGACAAAAAGAGACAAGATTAAACAAAGTTAAAAAGAAAAATACTGAAAATTTTGAAAGAAACTGAGTCGTTGAAGTTGTGAGATTTCCAGGTTGAATCCCTTTGACATTCAATATTTTACAACAGAACCAATCAGAGCTCTTTAATTCATCACATGACTTTCAGGAAGCACATTTCAAGCTATTTTCTCCAGACTCCCCAGAAAGTCTAAAAACATTTCAACCTTAATTTAAAAAGTTTAATGCTATTGTTTAAAGCTATTGTCCTTAATGAATATTTTTATAGAATATACAATGTTGAAATTATAAAAAATATTCGGTTTTTTACACTACAAGCACCAAAAAAGACATGAATTTTTCCTAACATGCAACATAATGATCACCAGAGGGTTAAAATAACACAGCAGCACAAGAGATGATAAACAGGAAATATTTAAAATAAATATTATCAGAAAGGCTAGAAGACACGGAAAGAGACAGGAAAACCTCCAGCAAGAATGAAAACAAGAAGCGTTGTATTTTTAGCAAATTACAGGTCGGAACATTCTGAATAATTCATTTGTGTTTCCATATCCTACATCCTGTGTGTCACCAAACCAGCCAGCTGCAAATATTCATCCTTTACAAAAAACGAGCAATCAGGATTGTAAATAATGCAGCAGAAACACACAGGAACTCACTGTTTTTAGCATGTTTTTAGTTTAAACTGGCGTATTGGACTAAAAAACAGTCATAAATCTATTCAGGCTTACTATTTAAGGAAATATTTTAAAAAATTAAAACAAGCAATCAGAGCCAAGAGGAGGGTCTTAGTGCTGTCAATCATCCACGTGAATGAGCTGCTAAATGAGCTAAAAGTAGAGAAACAACTGACTGCTATAGGAAAACAGGTTGTCTGACATCAATGGTAGCTTTGCTAACTAGCCTTAGCATTCATGGCAGGATCTGCTTCTGTATAGAGAGGTTGATTGACAGCACTAAGTCCCGCCTCCTGGCTCTGATTGGTTGTTTGTAGTTTGCACTGGGAGAAGACTTTTTTTCAGATCGTCTGTCTCATACCAAACTGACAGTTTCAACAAATATTTAAAAAACATATATTTTTTTTATAAAAGTTACATACTGCAACTTTAAGTCAATTATTTTAACATATTTTAGTCTAAAAATAATTGAAAAACAGAAAACTTTCAAAATTAAAAGTACAACGCATTAAGAATACTCACAAAAAGTACTTATTTTTTCTTTTTCAAAAAAGTTACTCCAGTTAATATTAGTTAGTACCCAACTCTGGTACTTTTTACTTTTACTTGAGTAAAATTTCTGTATTTTCTTCCCACTGAAGGAAAAACAAACATGTTTTAACCAAAAATCCACCAGACACAGACACACACCTGCAGTGTCTGTTAAACTTTCATAAGTTTTATATGGAATGAAACTGATTTGGAAAAAAAAAAGTTCATTTGCCTGATTTTGTTATTTTTTGTTACTTATATGAATTACTGCCATTTTGGTCCTGAAAATACCAAAATGTCAATTTATTTTGATATTTTTGGTCTGTCTGAATATGTCATTTTTAAATATTAAATGATAATTTGATCAGTTACTCAGTACTTGAATAGACTTTTTACCAAATATTTTTTACTTGACTAATTTCTTGGACGGCTACTTTTTACTTGACTAAAGTATGTTGAAGTAGTGCTGCTCTTACTCTGTACAGATTTTGGGTACTCCACCACCAGAAGCCTCCTGCTGACAGTTTCTAACAAAATAATCTGATTTTTCAGCTTTGAAGCCCTTCTGTTGTCGCTTTAATCTGCTGAAGGCTCCGTCTGGCCGGACCAGATGGTCCAGACTGGGACCGGGTCAAATCTCCTCCTCCTCCAATCTGAGGCAGTTTAAACCCAATAATCTGAGTTGCAGGATTATGGAAGTGGGCTAATGTATGCAGAGCGTGTTGCGCCGCCAGCACACGTCCTGATCCGTGTTTCTGCGGGACGATGGATGCTTCAGATGTGAGCTGGCTCTTTGTGCTGGGAGATGACAGACTCCTCTTTCATGAGAGCTCTGCTTCTCTTTCACATGTCAGCTGGCCTCCTCGCTCCTCCTGCAGCCTTTCATCGAGAAAGAACCGGCTCTCAGCAGGCCTCCAGTCTGCTCCCTACCAACGAAGTAGAGGAGGAGGAGGAGGAGGCCGGGGCGGCTGAAAGAGCTCTTTAGACTCCCTCTCAAAAGAATACTGATTCATTGGAGCAAAACAAAGCCTCCTCTAGCCTGGTTTCACTTCTCTAAAGCTCAACACAGATTCCACGCCACCTCCGACGATCCCAAGCTCCCCCCACTGGTCCTGGGGCCTTCGCCTTCGTCCCTGAATGGGAGCCGATTAGCATGAGAAAACAATCAGATCTTCACATGAAGAAAAGGAAACGGGATGCTCCCTTTGGTTGGAGGGCAGGAACAACATTTAAAGAACTTCCTTCAGGAATCCTGAGGTTCATGTTGGAGAGAAAAAGAGTCCACCCAAAAAAAGAAGAAGAAAAAAAAAAAAAAAACACCACAAGAGTCCCACATTCCTGAAGATCCTGATCCAACTGGCTCCCAAAACACATCTTCCCTCTGAAACTTGCTTCATCATTCCTAAGCTCCTTCTTCTCCAGCTAGAAACTTGAGTTTCCGAGAGGAAACAGTCTTAGTATTAATCAGTTTATGATTAACTGTTGATTAATGGTTCATTAGATTAAAATTAGTTTCAAAAGATTAACCAATAACTTCCGCTTAAACCAGTGTTTCTCAATCCTGGTCCTCACCGCCCCCCTGTCCTGCATGTTTTAGGTATTTCCCTTCTGCCACACCTGAATTGTATCTATGGGTGATTAACAGGCTTCTGCAGTACTTGATGGTCATGCAATCATTTGAATCAGCTGTTCTGGAATAGAGGCACATCTAAAACATGCATAGCAGGGGGGCGGTGAGGACCAGGGTTGAGAAACACTGGTTTAAAACTTTTTTTCGTGTTGCAGTTTTGCCGCCATCCAGCAGAGGGCGCCGCTGGTCATCCTGAAGCGCAGACTTTAATACAGAAACAAAGATGGCGGCGGGGCTATACCAGAACGGGAAAGAGAATCGGTCCAAACAGAGCTCGGTGAGAGCTGGAAAATGGACTTTAAGCGGTTCTGTTTTGAAATATAAACCACTTAACTCTTTAAGTTTCAAGTTAATATTGCTTATTCAGCTGTGCTCCGTCAAAAAAAAAAAAAAAAATTATGGATCTACTACGAAGACGAGGAAGTGGAGAAAAAAATAAACATGATGCTAATTAGCAAGATCCGTAGTGAGTTAATGCACTTAATAAAGAGAAGAGCAACCAAACAGTAGCCTACATATGCATGAATATCTCTCTAATCGTGACGTATTAAGAGCCTGGGATATTTTATTCTTTTCCTCTTATTTTTCCAGGTGGCAACCTATTTGGTTCCTGTTTTGTTATATTTTATAAGCATGTCTAATTTTAATAATGTGAGTAAACAGCAATTTTCTGCTTATTCAGTTAGTATTTAATATAGTGGACACAAAATAATGTTAAAATTTAATTATGTTTTTTAAAATTTAACATATTATGAAAAATGTAGCTCTTTATGTGATGGAAAGACATAAAGAGGTAATCAGAATTTTAAGAAAATGGCCGCTTATCAACTAATCATTAAAAAGAATCAATTAATTAATTAACTGAACTTACATCCTTATTGAGAAATCTTCATCTGATTAAAAGAAAAAGACACAATCTGAGTCCAGAAGGTCAATTAAAAAACATTCATCTCCCAATTGTTCAGACGGTTCTGCAGGACATGATGGCAATTGAAGATAAGACTTTAAGCTCTGCAACAGATCAACAACTTTGACTACAGATAGAAAAAAAGCAGTTAAAGTTTGGTTTTTTAATACAGATAACTAGGCAAGTTTTTAGCCAAATTTTCGATTTTTTCCTGCATTATTTGTTCCAAATTTCTACACAAAAATGACATTAAAAGTAATATGCTGTTACACTGGAATCTATGTATCTGTGTTTTAATATTCATACTTTGTCTGCTCCTTTACATCCTAAAAATAGAAATAAAACTTTAAAAACTACTTTTCAAAAATAGAAATGTTACATTTGTGGTTCTGAACGAGTTTTATTTTGTGTCCTGAGAGGAAAATGGCTCTTTAGGAAATAAAGTTTTATATTCCTGATCTAAACCAACATTTTCCAAGAGTATTTCCTCAGCAGCTGCTGCCCAGTGAGTCAACATGCACGGCAAATATTTTCAGCTTCTAATTACTGGAGAGAGAAGGAAAGGAGGAGCTTTCAAATTGAACACCGTAACACATCCCACTTTGCATTCCTACTCATTTTTAATAATTTCTTTTTCCTTCATGTCCATTTTATCTCCATTCTTTCACTTCTTGTCTCTGTTTTTTCCTTCCTTTCACCGCTTACTCTCTGTTCTGTCTTTTCTGCCTGTTTTTTCCCCTTTAATTTTTATAAACATAATCAAACTGGAGCCAAATCAGGAATCAGAAACATATCTGAACGAACAAAAGAATCAACGATTAAAGCAGGAAAAACTCATAAATTCCTCTAAAATGAAGCTTTTCTTCCCTGTAATCAGAGATATTTCATTAAAAATGTCCCGATGATGAACTGAGTGATAAATGCGGGGATGAATCCGGAATGCAACCTGAATCCAGAGCCGATGGAAAAGCTGCAGACTTACGTGTTAAGCTCAGAGGAGCAGCCTGTCGAGCTGTGGAGTCGTCGCTTTCTGTCTCCGATTCAGCTGCAGTTCCTCAACAACCCCACAGACCCACGCGCGCACACGCACATACTTCGTGCACGTGCACGCCGCTGAGTACGTCACAGGCTGTAACCCTGCTGCAGATGACTACAGCGCGGATTTAATCTGTTTGACGGGAACGCCCGCTTGATACGAAATGCCTTGCTGCTGAAATGTGCTATGCAAATAAAATTTGATTGATTGATTGATTGATTGATTGATTGATACACACCGAACTGAACCGGAACTAAGTTCACTGATAATCTGGAACCGGCTCTGGGATCCGGCTGCTCACCATGGAGACACCGGCAGCAGACCGAGATCACACATGTCCGTCCGTCCCTTCATCCATCCTTCCTGATGAAGAAGTACCAGTTCCATTGATTATTTCACTTATAATATGGGAAAAATTTAATTTAAAGGAATTGTTCACTTGAAACAAGCCAGTATATCTTGTTGAGAATTTACATCCAAGTTAGTTTTGAATTAAGACATTACCACTAGAATATAGACCAAAAACACTTGGTAAGATTTTGTATTTTAGCAGCATGTGAAGCATGGAGGTGGAAGCGTCATGAAATGTCTCTGAAGTTGTTTCTGAGATTATCTGGAATCTGGAAAACACTTTTTCATTCATATATTTCTATTAAATTTGTGAAAACACAGTCAGTTTTACCGCAGGAACTGGTTTCCTGAAGCTGAGAGCAATCAAAACGAGTCATTTGTGTAGTCCTGTTGTGTCTGAAGGATCTTGTCCGGTTTTCCAGAGCGTCTGTCTCGACTCGCCCGGATCCTGATGGCTCAGTCATGCGTTCGGCTCTTTGTTCCCGTCTGCAGCTGGGAGCAAAGCGCAGCAGGAGGCAGCCGGGTCATTCAGCCCCGGAGGAAAACCTGTCATTACTCATGTCTCCTCCTCCAACTGAATTCCTGAAACATTCCCTTTAAAATCCCAAACAGGTTTGGACCCATCGTCCACTCTGCAGAGCCCAGGATGTTTCACCCACTGTAATCCCAGTTTCATCCAGCTGANAAAAAGTTCATTTGCCTGATTTTGTTATTTTTTGTTACTTATATGAATTACTGCCATTTTGGTCCTGAAAATACCAAAATGTCAATTTATTTTGATATTTTTGGTCTGTCTGAATATGTCATTTTTAAATATTAAATGATAATTTGATCAGTTACTCAGTACTTGAATAGACTTTTTACCAAATATTTTTTACTTGACTAATTTCTTGGACGGCTACTTTTTACTTGACTAAAGTATGTTGAAGTAGTGCTGCTCTTACTCTGTACAGATTTTGGGTACTCCACCACCAGAAGCCTCCTGCTGACAGTTTCTAACAAAATAATCTGATTTTTCAGCTTTGAAGCCCTTCTGTTGTCGCTTTAATCTGCTGAAGGCTCCGTCTGGCCGGACCAGATGGTCCAGACTGGGACCGGGTCAAATCTCCTCCTCCTCCAATCTGAGGCAGTTTAAACCCAATAATCTGAGTTGCAGGATTATGGAAGTGGGCTAATGTATGCAGAGCGTGTTGCGCCGCCAGCACACGTCCTGATCCGTGTTTCTGCGGGACGATGGATGCTTCAGATGTGAGCTGGCTCTTTGTGCTGGGAGATGACAGACTCCTCTTTCATGAGAGCTCTGCTTCTCTTTCACATGTCAGCTGGCCTCCTCGCTCCTCCTGCAGCCTTTCATCGAGAAAGAACCGGCTCTCAGCAGGCCTCCAGTCTGCTCCCTACCAACGAAGTAGAGGAGGAGGAGGAGGAGGCCGGGGCGGCTGAAAGAGCTCTTTAGACTCCCTCTCAAAAGAATACTGATTCATTGGAGCAAAACAAAGCCTCCTCTAGCCTGGTTTCACTTCTCTAAAGCTCAACACAGATTCCACGCCACCTCCGACGATCCCAAGCTCCCCCCACTGGTCCTGGGGCCTTCGCCTTCGTCCCTGAATGGGAGCCGATTAGCATGAGAAAACAATCAGATCTTCACATGAAGAAAAGGAAACGGGATGCTCCCTTTGGTTGGAGGGCAGGAACAACATTTAAAGAACTTCCTTCAGGAATCCTGAGGTTCATGTTGGAGAGAAAAAGAGTCCACCCAAAAAAAGAAGAAGAAAAAAAAAAAAAAAACACCACAAGAGTCCCACATTCCTGAAGATCCTGATCCAACTGGCTCCCAAAACACATCTTCCCTCTGAAACTTGCTTCATCATTCCTAAGCTCCTTCTTCTCCAGCTAGAAACTTGAGTTTCCGAGAGGAAACAGTCTTAGTATTAATCAGTTTATGATTAACTGTTGATTAATGGTTCATTAGATTAAAATTAGTTTCAAAAGATTAACCAATAACTTCCGCTTAAACCAGTGTTTCTCAATCCTGGTCCTCACCGCCCCCCTGTCCTGCATGTTTTAGGTATTTCCCTTCTGCCACACCTGAATTGTATCTATGGGTGATTAACAGGCTTCTGCAGTACTTGATGGTCATGCAATCATTTGAATCAGCTGTTCTGGAATAGAGGCACATCTAAAACATGCATAGCAGGGGGGCGGTGAGGACCAGGGTTGAGAAACACTGGTTTAAAACTTTTTTTCGTGTTGCAGTTTTGCCGCCATCCAGCAGAGGGCGCCGCTGGTCATCCTGAAGCGCAGACTTTAATACAGAAACAAAGATGGCGGCGGGGCTATACCAGAACGGGAAAGAGAATCGGTCCAAACAGAGCTCGGTGAGAGCTGGAAAATGGACTTTAAGCGGTTCTGTTTTGAAATATAAACCACTTAACTCTTTAAGTTTCAAGTTAATATTGCTTATTCAGCTGTGCTCCGTCAAAAAAAAAAAAAAAAATTATGGATCTACTACGAAGACGAGGAAGTGGAGAAAAAAATAAACATGATGCTAATTAGCAAGATCCGTAGTGAGTTAATGCACTTAATAAAGAGAAGAGCAACCAAACAGTAGCCTACATATGCATGAATATCTCTCTAATCGTGACGTATTAAGAGCCTGGGATATTTTATTCTTTTCCTCTTATTTTTCCAGGTGGCAACCTATTTGGTTCCTGTTTTGTTATATTTTATAAGCATGTCTAATTTTAATAATGTGAGTAAACAGCAATTTTCTGCTTATTCAGTTAGTATTTAATATAGTGGACACAAAATAATGTTAAAATTTAATTATGTTTTTTAAAATTTAACATATTATGAAAAATGTAGCTCTTTATGTGATGGAAAGACATAAAGAGGTAATCAGAATTTTAAGAAAATGGCCGCTTATCAACTAATCATTAAAAAGAATCAATTAATTAATTAACTGAACTTACATCCTTATTGAGAAATCTTCATCTGATTAAAAGAAAAAGACACAATCTGAGTCCAGAAGGTCAATTAAAAAACATTCATCTCCCAATTGTTCAGACGGTTCTGCAGGACATGATGGCAATTGAAGATAAGACTTTAAGCTCTGCAACAGATCAACAACTTTGACTACAGATAGAAAAAAAGCAGTTAAAGTTTGGTTTTTTAATACAGATAACTAGGCAAGTTTTTAGCCAAATTTTCGATTTTTTCCTGCATTATTTGTTCCAAATTTCTACACAAAAATGACATTAAAAGTAATATGCTGTTACACTGGAATCTATGTATCTGTGTTTTAATATTCATACTTTGTCTGCTCCTTTACATCCTAAAAATAGAAATAAAACTTTAAAAACTACTTTTCAAAAATAGAAATGTTACATTTGTGGTTCTGAACGAGTTTTATTTTGTGTCCTGAGAGGAAAATGGCTCTTTAGGAAATAAAGTTTTATATTCCTGATCTAAACCAACATTTTCCAAGAGTATTTCCTCAGCAGCTGCTGCCCAGTGAGTCAACATGCACGGCAAATATTTTCAGCTTCTAATTACTGGAGAGAGAAGGAAAGGAGGAGCTTTCAAATTGAACACCGTAACACATCCCACTTTGCATTCCTACTCATTTTTAATAATTTCTTTTTCCTTCATGTCCATTTTATCTCCATTCTTTCACTTCTTGTCTCTGTTTTTTCCTTCCTTTCACCGCTTACTCTCTGTTCTGTCTTTTCTGCCTGTTTTTTCCCCTTTAATTTTTATAAACATAATCAAACTGGAGCCAAATCAGGAATCAGAAACATATCTGAACGAACAAAAGAATCAACGATTAAAGCAGGAAAAACTCATAAATTCCTCTAAAATGAAGCTTTTCTTCCCTGTAATCAGAGATATTTCATTAAAAATGTCCCGATGATGAACTGAGTGATAAATGCGGGGATGAATCCGGAATGCAACCTGAATCCAGAGCCGATGGAAAAGCTGCAGACTTACGTGTTAAGCTCAGAGGAGCAGCCTGTCGAGCTGTGGAGTCGTCGCTTTCTGTCTCCGATTCAGCTGCAGTTCCTCAACAACCCCACAGACCCACGCGCGCACACGCACATACTTCGTGCACGTGCACGCCGCTGAGTACGTCACAGGCTGTAACCCTGCTGCAGATGACTACAGCGCGGATTTAATCTGTTTGACGGGAACGCCCGCTTGATACGAAATGCCTTGCTGCTGAAATGTGCTATGCAAATAAAATTTGATTGATTGATTGATTGATTGATTGATTGATACACACCGAACTGAACCGGAACTAAGTTCACTGATAATCTGGAACCGGCTCTGGGATCCGGCTGCTCACCATGGAGACACCGGCAGCAGACCGAGATCACACATGTCCGTCCGTCCCTTCATCCATCCTTCCTGATGAAGAAGTACCAGTTCCATTGATTATTTCACTTATAATATGGGAAAAATTTAATTTAAAGGAATTGTTCACTTGAAACAAGCCAGTATATCTTGTTGAGAATTTACATCCAAGTTAGTTTTGAATTAAGACATTACCACTAGAATATAGACCAAAAACACTTGGTAAGATTTTGTATTTTAGCAGCATGTGAAGCATGGAGGTGGAAGCGTCATGAAATGTCTCTGAAGTTGTTTCTGAGATTATCTGGAATCTGGAAAACACTTTTTCATTCATATATTTCTATTAAATTTGTGAAAACACAGTCAGTTTTACCGCAGGAACTGGTTTCCTGAAGCTGAGAGCAATCAAAACGAGTCATTTGTGTAGTCCTGTTGTGTCTGAAGGATCTTGTCCGGTTTTCCAGAGCGTCTGTCTCGACTCGCCCGGATCCTGATGGCTCAGTCATGCGTTCGGCTCTTTGTTCCCGTCTGCAGCTGGGAGCAAAGCGCAGCAGGAGGCAGCCGGGTCATTCAGCCCCGGAGGAAAACCTGTCATTACTCATGTCTCCTCCTCCAACTGAATTCCTGAAACATTCCCTTTAAAATCCCAAACAGGTTTGGACCCATCGTCCACTCTGCAGAGCCCAGGATGTTTCACCCACTGTAATCCCAGTTTCATCCAGCTGACTCCACAGCAAAACATATAATCTTACTAATTTGTTGTTGTTCTTTTTGTCTAGTTTCCACTGCAAATATCTTAGTATCAAAAGTTATTTGAAAGTTAGTTTTGTCTTATTTGCACAGAAGAGGATTAAGGCAACTAAAAACAATTACTGATTTTAATCTCAAAATTCTTTTGAGAATTTTTCTCAATTTTGATTTTAATCTCAGAAATTTGACTTTCAGCTCACAATTCTATTTTTCCTCTCAAAATTTTAACTTTTACTTCAAAATTCAGATTTTTTTTCCTCAGAATTCTGATTTCAGTCTCAGAATTTTTTAATTTTTTCCTCAGGGTCCAATGTGTTGATTTTAATTAGAATTTTGAATTAGAATTTTCACTTTAATCTCATAATTTTTTATATTTTTTCTCAGAATTTTGACTTTAGTCTCACAATTTGACTAATCTCAGAATTGTGTAATTTTAGATGTTTGTTTCTTAATCTTGGTTACTTATCATTTAGGCTGAAATAGGGGAACATTCATTAGTTTTGCTTCATGAAAACCAAATAATTTTGTTGCCGACATGCTTTATTGCAGGTCACTCAGAAATGATGAAACCAAACAATCCTTACATGAATATCTTACAGTGATAAGAATCTCCTGACTGATGCAGAAGCTTGTTATAATCATCGGGCTGCTTTGGCAGAATCTGGATTCGGCTTCTTTTTAACAAACTAACGGCTTCGTGAATATTTACAGTCCACAGACATCAAAACGAAAGCGCTCCTCTGTAACAGACAGTAAAACATTAAAAACTCTGATTACAGGCAAAGTGAGTTTATCTCTACAATCTGATCATAAATATTTAAATTCATCGCTGTCTACATTAAATATCCAAACATTTATTTGTTTGCAGCGAACATCCAAAAGGTCACTAGAAGCTTAACAGAAGACACATTTTGCTTTATTGGATATGAAAGCTGCAGAAACATGAATGCTGTCGCTGTTGGTGGCCAGCAGCTGCGTCGCTCTCTCTGCGCGTCCTTGTGGCTTGAAAATAAAAACTAGTTTGAGTTTGTTTTAGTGTCCACAAGCCTTTTGTGTTGCTCAGTTCAGCCACAGGACAGAGCTTTCTTCAGGCAACCGGATTCATCAAGACGCCTCGTCTCTCATCAGTTAAAGCACAAAAAAAAAAGAAAAAGAAGAAGAAGAATCCATCTGGCTCCGACAGCAGAGAGGATCTGTTCAGTTTACATTCCGACAGACGGAGCTCTGTGGAGAACGAGAACAAAAAAAACCCAACAGAGCCGGGAGGAGAAAGGGTCACACTGCCGTCTCCTGGTCCTCTCTCTGGATCATCTGGTAATGTTGGCAGTTCTCCAGGTAGTTGGCCAGTTCCTGGTCGTCGGCCTTGGCGGCCCGATGTTTGGGAGTGTCGCCCTGAAAGACGAGAGCAACGGGTGGCTTTAGTTTATTTTATTTCTTCCTCTACAGCACAAACATTACAATAAAAATCACACTATTGCATGTGAGTATTAGGAACATCCTAAAAAAAAGGAAAAAAAATTAAATTATGAAAATAAACTGGTACTAGAATAGTCAAATTATGAGAATAAAGGTGAAATAATATGAGAATAAAGTCAAAATACAAGAATAAAGTAACATCTTGAGAATGAAATCATAGTATTGAGAGAATAATCTTACTAGAAGAATAAACTCTTACTAATACGAGAAAACAGTCAGTATTATAAGAATTAAGTCATAAAATGAGAATAAAGTCATAATATTATGAGTAAAGCTATAATATTACAAGAATAAAGCTGTACAAAAATAAAGTTAAAAGTTGAGGTAATATAAATAATCATATGAGAATAAAGTTGAAATATTATGACTATTTTCTTACATATATTTATTATTTCAATATATTCAGAACTTTATTCTTGTAGTGTGACTACTCAATTTTTTATTTTTTGTAGTGACCTTAATACAAACTTCACAAAAAAAAAAAAAAAAAGTCACAAGATTTCTTAAAAACAAAAAAAATCAAACACACAAAAATACAAACCAGGAACCTCAACAATTTAAAAGTATTAAAAAGAAACAATAACCAGATGTTTTAAGGGTCTTTTTAAACATTATATGATCTTCAGTTCTGGGCCGAGGTAATGTCAAAATAACAATAAAGACTCTTCTAATGTCAAAACCATGAAACAAAGAACAGATCTGTCTCCAAACAGCAGAGCTGATGTGGGACTTCCCGGGCTAACAGTTAGGCTAACTACTATGGCAGGAACGGGTAAGTTACTAGGTATTGGCTAGGCTAATGGCTAAGCAAACAGCTCGACTAACTGCTATGCTAATAGACGGGCTAACAATAATGGATGAGCTGACTGTTAGACAAAATGGCAGGCTAACAAGTAGTGTTTAGTAATGAGTTGGCTAATGGCTGTAAAAACCCCTAAGCTAACTGCTACGCTAATGGTTGTGTTAACTGCCAGGGGGAATGGTAGAGCTTTACAAGCGTCTGCAACCAGGTGCTAATAGATAGCTGGATAAAAAGCTAGGCAATAGCTAGCCTAGGCCAATATCTGTGGTTAAAGCTTGGCTAACTTCTATTGCTAGCTGAACAGTTAACAATGTACTTTATTAGAAGATTAGGTGATTAACTGTTGAGCCAAAATCTAAGGTAATGGTCATACTAACTAAAGCTGTTTGGATACTGGCTGAGCTACAAGCTATGCTAACAGGCAGGTTAGCAGCAGAAATGTGTTCTTCCTAACACTGATGAATGATTAAAGATAAATTAAGAGAGAAGCTTTAAATCATCTGATTTATTCAAGTGCAGTAACAGTAAGCTAACATCCAGGAGCTGGGAACCGTTCTGAACTCGAAAGTTAAAGATAACGTGACAAAATCTGATCTTTTCATCTGAAAAAGTAGCTTGAGGACAAAACGGACGGACGGATGGATGGATGGATGGATGGATGGTGTGAGAAATGGAGGAGGAGAAGCCTCTCAGCCCGTCTAAACTCCTGCGGTGAATTCCCGCTCAGGACCAACTCTGGACTCTAAATAACACATAAACTCTTTATTTGTGTAGCGGAGGAGAGAAAGCTCAGATTATGGGCTGTTTCCTGTTACCACTGGCTTCACCATGGCGACGGTGAGCCAAGGCTTTTGTGTGTAGAGGATGAAGCCCGGGGAATCCTGCGGAGCTTCGTTTCTCACTGACACACAACATTAATCACTTTATAGAAGTGGGTCAAATACTGCTGCAGACCCATTTAAAGTGCGGAGGCACGGATCGGGCTGGTGGCCGCCGTCCTGCCAGCAGGAAAAAAAAAAGGCTTCATACAGCAGGAAGCAGCTGCTGACCAGAAACTAAATCTTTACCGTTAATCTGCTGACTTTGAGTTTGGAAAGAACCAAAACATTTCCAGGAAAGCTCACTAAACAATGATCAGACGCAGATAGGAATTCAGGGCCAAGTCACACACAGCCAGAGATCTGGGAATATGAAAATATTTTTATCCGTTTTGGCCTTTCATCCACACAAAAACTCTGTTTCATATCACTAAAAATCATTACTTATAAAAACTTTGACATGGAGATTTGAGAAAACGAAGATTTAGGGTTCAGCAAATTACAGTTTGCGACAAATAACACACCAATATGTCCACATTTTGCTTTGATATGATTTTTATTAACTTTATTTTCTAATATGCCGTTTAAAAGTAGTCCAACCTAGTTATCTGTTAAAACAGATGAAAACTGCAACTGTGAGGCTTCAAACTGATGAAAACGTACATAAGTCTAAAAAAACAAACTAAATTTATCTGCAAACTGAGAAACTGAAAACTTGTTCTAAAGCAGAATAAATGAATTAATGTTTCGATCACATAGTAGTTTGGGAAATCTGTCTTTGTGCTCCAGGTGAGTTTACCTGCAGGTCTGTCTTCATGAGCGACGCCCCCGCCTCCACCAGGAAGTGACAGATGCTCCTCTGGCAGAGAGCGGCGGCTTTATGGAGCGCCGTCTCTCCTCTGGAACACAACCGGGAGAAACGGATTCACTTCCTGGAACGTTTGGGCTTCGTTTGGACAGAACAAAAACAAAACTTCAGCCGGGTTAAAAGAACAAAGTGGACTCACGTCTCCGTCTCT